CTACACTTCCCTGGACACTATGGGCAATTTAGCATGGCCAACCCACCTAACCTGCGTATCTTTGGACTGCGGGAGGAAACTGGAGCACCCGGAGGAAACCTGCACAGACACAGGGAGAACATGCAAACTCCACACAGACAGTCACCTAAGGCTGGAATTGAACCCAGGTCCCTGGCACTGTGAGGCAGCAGTACTAACCACTGAGCCATCGTGATGCCCATTTGTTTTTTGTCAAGAAAGACTCCAATCTCTCGAACTATTCTATCTCCTACTATCACTACATTCCTTTTTGTTGCCCCCAACTTGAATGATTTCTGTACCACGGTGTCACAGTTAGTGCATCCATTAGATAGACCCTAACCTCAACCAAACAAGCTAAAGGAACCTCAAACCTGTTGACAATTATAAAGGTTCCTGCCCTCTGGTTCTCCTTAGCTGCCTCATTTGTAGCCACACTTTCTTGTCCCTGAACACTGACCAAGTCTGAAGATCTTATCCTAACAGGTGTGACTGGGTCTAGGTACAAAGAATCCAGATACATTTCCCTCTCCCTAAAGTGTTGCAGTGTCTGTACTTCATAAGCTGAGTCAAGTCTGCTCAAATCTCAAATACTTGCTGCAGACGTGCATGTCCTGGATCAAGCTGGCATCCAGGAGCTCCCAAATGCTACATCTGTGACAAATCACCCACCCTGCCATTCTTAATGTGTTCTAATTAACTACTTAATTATTTTATTCATTTATACATTTACCTATTTTTAAAATATACTTTGTTAACTTTATCACACTTTTGAACTTTAGGAATAGATTACACCTTAGTCACTTGCTAGATATTCACCAAATGACAAACTTATTCTGCTGTAGCCAATTTCTTAAATAGAAAAAGCAAAATCAAAAGAGCATCTCTTTCCTTTCTTCCCCTAACTCCCTAACCACCCAACTTCCAAAGCTCTCATAAGTTACACTAAGTTGGATAGTGTTATGTAATGCTCCGAGTACAAAAGGCCTAGTTGATACAGTTACAGAGAAACTAGTTTCAGCAGATTGAATTTAACTAAACTCAGTTGTACTTCCAGGAGACCTGGTTAAAAACAAAGAACAATACAGCACAGGAACACGTCCTTTGGCCCTCCGAGCCTGTGCCAACACATTTTGCCCTTCCATACTAAAACTGTCTTCACTTACAGGATCTGTATCCCTCTCGTCCCTTCCTATTCATGTATTTGTCCAGGTGCTTCTTGAATGCTGCTGTTGTGCCTGCTTCCACCACCTCCTCTGGCAGCACGTTCCAGGTACTCACCACCGTTTGTGTGAAAAATGTGCCTCACACATCCTCTTTTAAACTTTCCCCCCCTCGCACCTTGAACCTGTGTCCCCTCGTAATTGATCCCTTCATCTTGGGAAAAAGCCTCATACTTTCCACTCAATCCATGCCATTCATGATCTTATAAACTTCTATCAGGTCACCCCTCAAAACCTTAAACTATAAGGTTTATAATTTAATTTATAATTTAAACTGCAGATTTCAGTTAAAAGCTAACTATGAACAGAATTATATTTGTACAAAAAGATTAAAACTTTCTTTCCCACCAACTGCCAGCATTCAGTTCCCCATAAGTCTTGGCATATGTTGTTCCACTGCCACTCAATGACAGCATCTGAAAACACATACAAAAGAGGAGCAGGAGTAGGCCACTTAACCCCTCAAGCTTGCTCTGTACTTCAATAAGATCAATAAGCTTGCTGATCTATTTACTCCTTGTTCCTATCTACCCCCGATAACCTCTCACTCTCTTGCTTATCAAGAATCTTTCTACCTCTGCCTTAAAAATTTTCAAAGACTCTATTTTCACTACTTTTTGAAGAAGGGAGTTCCAAAGATTCACAACCCTCTGCAAGAAAAAAAAATCGACCTTATCGCTGTCTTAAATAAATGACCCCTTATTTATCAACAATATCCCCTAGTTTTAGATTCTCCCACAAAATATCCTTCCCACATCCACCTTGTCAAGACCTTTCAGGATCTTGTATGTTTCAATTCACTCTTACTTTTCCAACATGCAGGGGATACAAGGCTAGCCAGTCCAAACTTTGCTCAGAAGACAATCCATCCATTCCAGATATTAGTCTTCTAAACCTCTCTGAATTACCTTGTACACATTTACATCTTTCTTAAATAAGAAGACCAATACTGTACACAGATATTCCAGATGTTGTCTCACCATCGCCCCTTATAATCTCCCTATTTCTGTATTCAATCCTCTTGCATTCTACTGGTTTTTCTAATTACTTACTGTACCTGCATTCTTGCCTTATACAAATCATGCACTAGAACACTTAGATTCCTCGGCATCTCAGAGCTCTGCAATCTCCATTTAAATAATATGCTTCTTTTTTATTCTGTCAAAATGGACAATTCTACATTTTCCCACATAGCCCATTTCCCAGATCTTTATCCTATCACTTAAACTATCTATATCCCTTTTTAGCCTCCTTTGGTCCTCTTCACATATTACATTCCTACTACTCTTTGTGTCTGCAGCAAATTTAGCAATGTACCTTCAGTCCATTCATTCAAGTCATTGAAATAAACTGTGAAAGGTTGAGGCCCCAGTGTTGATTCCTGTGGCAAACTACTATTACATCTTGCCAACTAGAAAATGACCCAATTATTCCTATTCTCTGTTTCATGTTAGTCAGTCCATCTTCTGTCCATACCAATATGTTAGCCCTACACCATAAACTTTTACTTTCCACAATAATCTTTGATATGGTATCTTAGCAAATGCCTTCTAAAGTCTAAGTATATTACATTCACCAGTTTCCCTTTATCCACAGCATCTTACTTCCTCAAATAATTCCAATTGGGTTAATCATGATTTTTCTTTCACAAAAGCACATTGACTCTGCCCAATAACCTTGAAAGTTTCTAAATGCCCTGCTTTAATGTACATAACAACAACTTTTAACATCTTCCCTGTGAGTAATGTTTAGTCAACTGACTGTAGAGTTTCCTGCTTTGTGTCTCCCTCCTGTTTTGAATAAAGTTACACTTGCTATTTTCTGATTCAGTTGAATCTTCCCTGAATCCAGGATGTTTTGGAAAATGAAAATGAATGCATCAATTATCTCATTAATCACTCCGTTTAAACCTTAGGTTGAAGTCCATCAGGATTTGGGGACTTGTCTGCCTACAGTTCTAACAATTTGCTGAATGCCACTTCTTGGCAGTTGTAATGTTCCTGGGTTTCTCCCTGCCTTCCTTTTGGTTTACAGATATTTCTAGAATGTTACTTATATCCTGTATAACAAACAGTAGTACAAAATACCTGTTCAATTCATCTGACATTGGCTTAGTTTACATTTTTAATTCCTCAGACTCATTTTTTATTGGACTAATACTCACTAAGTTTTCTGTTTTATATCTATAGAAACTCTTGTCATCTGATTTTGTTTTTCTAGCTAGCTTTCTCTCATACTCTAACTTTTCCCTCCACATGAAATTTTTTGTCAGTCTTTGCTTTTTTTTATGGATCCTGTTAAATTTTCTGACCTGCTATCCACCTTTGTATAATTGTAGTGTCAATTTCCAAATGTTGAAAACACCCAACTCTACCTCACCATCACCTTAAAGAGTCAGAAAGTTGAACAACATACAGTACTGGATTAACAGGAATGTTCTCCAACCAAATGTTGCAAAAAGTCAAGAACAAAAACAAAGTTGCTGGAAAAGCTTAGCAGGTCTGGCAGCATCTGTGGAGAAGAAAACAGAGTTAACGTTTCGGGTCCGGTGACCCTTCCTCAGAGTCATTGGTTCTTGTCACAAACTTAATTCATCTCAGTGCAATTATTTGAGGCTGCCCAAGACTGTTCATATTCCATATCCTCAGTATCATATTTTGCCTACATATACACCTTCATCAAGGCTGTGTACTAGCAACTCTGCAACATCATCTATCTCCACCCTGCACCCTCACCAATGCATGTTTACCTTTAAACCTACCTTAAATCCCAATGCATTTGTGGCCTCATAACTGTTGTAAACTTGAGGTCATCCAAAATCTACCTACAATGTTCTAACTTGCATTCATATCTAGGCTTATTCATCTATAGTGTTCCCACTTAAGCAATACATCAGTTTCAAAATTCTCAACTTTTTAAATCACTCCATGACCTCACTAATTTCAATGTCTGTAAGCTCTTCCAATCCTAGAAAGCTCCCTGCTCTCTGTTTGCATCTTGGAACCCCCTCTGTTTTAATCACTCCACTGTTGGTGGCTTGCCTTCACCTCTCAAGGACCTAAACTAAAGTTGAAAACCAAAAGAACTACAGATGCTGGAAATCAGAAACAAAAACAGAAATTGCTGGAAAACCTGAGCAAGGTCAGAACTGAAGAAGGGTTACTGAACCTGAAATGTTAACTTTGCTTTCACTCTGCTTTCTCTCTGCAGATGCTGCCAGACCTGCAGAATTTTTCCAGCAATTTCTGTTTTTGTTCCTAAAATTACCTTTCTAACGGTATATATTAAAATCAACCTAATTTACATGTTATATTAAATACGAACTTGGTATATGGTGCTACTTTCAGGAACCAATCGGGCTCATTACATCATTTTTTCCCCATAACAAAGTATTTTCCTGCTACGTTTATTATGATGCAAACATGAGAAAACCTTCCTCCCTGAGGTTATACAATTTTAATGCTTACCAAAATCATCTTTCTGGTTTATAGAGCACAGCTAACTGGGCAGAGTACAAAAACAAAATCACATTTAAAACAAAAATGTTTAATTTTCACCTTTCAACTTTTTGTGGCTCCCTCAATGTTCATTTTCGCTTGTTAATTGCTTCTGCGAAGGATGGAAGTTATTGGTGGCTCAAAGCGAAGTGGGGAGCTTCCCCGGCATGTTTTGTAATTAGAAACATCCAATTAAACTTTTCCCAAAGGTTGCCCTCATTGGTGTATTGGGATGTAATAGCGAAAGAGGAAAGTGAAGTATTGGTTTTGGGAGTAGGATTTATTACTGCTGACACCAGGAGGCGGGGGGTGGGCGCTGGGAAGTGGTGACGTCTCCAACCTGCTGACAACACCCAACTTGTGAGGCTGAGCGGTTCGGGGTCTGAATCGGCGGGTTTGTTTTTGCTGGAAAACATGTAAGTTTGTTTCGACGTTACTTCAGCTTTTGCTTCTCTGTCATCTTCTTACTTCCTTAAATCGATTGTTCGGAACGATCTCCGACTCCACACCGTGGTCAGGTGAGGGCTGTCCGGAACCCCGTCGAGTTTCCAGGCGAGCTGCAGGCTTGTGTTTGGAGGGAAGGCCGCAAACTTGTGTTTTAATTCCCTAGCGTAAAAACCAGGGGTTTAATAGGGTTCAGCCTTTTAATTTCTTAAATGTTAAAATTCGGTACAAATTCTAAACTTTTAAACTAGTAATACCTTGAATTAATATTCCAAAGTGTTAAAGTTGAGTTGAGGCTAGTTGAACTATTTTGAAAAGCGAAGTGTCTTGTGGTTTTACAATTCATGATGAAATTAATTTAAATTAGTTTCTGTGGTTGTAGTATCTTATTCCTGTTTCATTCTTGGATTTTATGTATCTTAGTATTGATCCTGTTTTATAAATGAAGTTGAGTAGTTTTTGCATTGTGAATTACTGTTTAATGTTGATCAGTTCGGGCAAGGTATTTCCAGATATTGCTGCATTCAGAAGCTGATAGAAACATTTGTCATATTGGGTTTTTGTTTTGCTTTTAGCATGAAAGGAAGGTGGTTGGGGAATTGTGTGGAATGTTTTTTTGGGGTGGGTACTTGGGCTTCCAGTTCATTTTAAGGAACTTGGGATTTGTGGCCTCTAAGTGGGTAAATGAAAGTAGGCACTTTTTATGCAACAAGCACAGTGGTCTTCCAAGATCCTTTTCCTGAATTTCTATTTAATGGACTGTTATCTCACTACTCCCGTATATAATAACAAGTAAAATCTGGAATGTCAAATAAAAGTAGAAATTTGAATTTCTTCATCTTACCTTTTACCTTGTTGTATTTGTGCTTGATTCAAAGTTGGGCAAGGGTGGACTGTGGCAAAAATGCATTGTGTAATACAGGCTGTTCTGTCAGACTTGCATAATTTAATAGTTTTCCATTGATTTGAGTTAATGCTTTTGTTCCCAGTTAAATTTGTTGCTTTCCAAAGTCAGTAAATTTGTTCTTTCTCTTTAGATTTGAGTATGTTCCTTTCCTCTTCTATATAAATAGAATGTGTTAGTAAATTCAACTGCTTAAACATGGTTTAGGGAAATGTACCATTCTCGTCTTTTGAAAAATTTGTTGTAAAGTGTGATATGTTTACAAGCCATTTATTGGAAACTTGACTCCTCCTTTACCACTTGGTTGAACTTGTGGCAAATTGCACCAATTGGGAAGTAACTGGCACCCTATTGGTGCAATTTCTCAGAATTTACTCTGATCGTCACTTTAAAGCATAATTCATAATGGAGACCTGTGTGTGCATGCAACTAAACTACGTCAACACTGCTCAGTTCACTATGGCGTCAGCCTATTTGGGCCAGAATTGGAGACAATTAGCCATTGAACTAGTTATGTGATAGTTCAGCTGTGCTTGTCTGATTGGATGTATGAACTTGTGCCAAACTGCATAACTCTTCAATGGATTTTTTTTTTGTGGAATGAGTCATGGTGTTTGAACAAGAATGGGATCAGGTGGGGATAGAGCACTGTTAATTTCATTTGATATTACTTTGACTGAAAGATTAAACTATTTAATGATGGTAAGTAACTTTGGGAACATGTCAACTTATTCCATCTATCTCAAGGAAACCAGGAAGTGACTCTTAAAATGTGTAAATAATTTGTCATCAACCATGTTGAGACATCCTGATCTGTTAACAACAGGGCATAGCTTGCTGTGTAAGCAATCTAATATTCTAGTTTGTTTTATTGCATTGTTTGTACTCTGATCAAGTAACATAACAGCCTGTTTATACAGTGCCTTTAACATGGTGGAATGTTTCAGTGCTTCAGTGTTGAGACAAAATTTCACATTAAGTCACAAGATATTAGCACAAGTGAAAGTTAGTGTTCTAAGTACTTAAAAAGTGGCGAGGAGGCAATTGCAAGGCTTGAGGTGAAGACATGAAGTAGTGAAGTTGTGGAAAGATTTGAAATCAAGGATAAACATTGGCTCTGGCAGTGCTTCCATTTCCAGATGCAGATTGGCAAGGGCAAGGATGGCTGAATGTGTTTTAAGGATAGGATCAGTAGACTTTTGAGGTATAAGGTTGATGTTGAAACTTGCTGCTGATCTGATGAAATTTTTTTCAACAACTAAATCTTCATGATTTTTGCCTCTACTACTTTACATGGTGTTCATGGATGCAGTTCCCTTTTCAGACATATCCCATTGGAAAGCGCAAAATCCAAACAAGCTTAAACAAAAAAATTAACCATTGTTTCCAACCTCAAATGCTGTTGAATGCATTAAGCTTAGTTTCCTTCCAGAAACTTAGGAATTATCACTTGTGGAGCAAAACAAGTGCAAATTGCCCTGGCTTCCATGTGGACGTTTTGAGTGTTGACAGCAATGATGGAGTTTGTGGTGTAAAAATGTCTTGAGCCTACCCGGTCTACCTGTAACTGGACTTTCCTAAATATCTTAAAGTCCACCTGCTTATGACGCTGTTGTGGCTGAGATTGACCAAGTATGCATTAGAATTTGGCTCTGCCAGACTGACTGCACACTCATTTATTGCAGTGTTTTTGCTTTTTTGCTCACTACTTTAACTGGCCTATCTGAATTTGAAGAGGAAAAATCTAATTTGCTTGAAACCCCTCCTATCTCTCAAATAACATCTTCTAGCATAATAACTCACCAATATCAGCACTCCCTCGATTCTCTCAAAAATCTGGAATAAAAAAACTAGCATAATGATGACTCTGTAACCACTGGCACTTGGCAGAACTCAATCCAGACAGTTCGCCAACAATCATGGAAATGAGTTTTACTCCAGCAACAGCTTGATTCTATGTAGTTTCTTTAAAATTTCCAGAAGCACTTTACAGATCCTTTATCAAACAAATTTTTGATATTATACTCAACTATTATGATGTGGAGGTACTAGTGTTGAACTGGGTTGGACAAGGTCAGAAGTCACATGACACCAGGCTATAGTCCAACAGGTTTATTTGAAATCACAAGCTTTTGAAGCGCTGCCCCTTCATTCACCTGACAAAAGGGCAGCGCTTTAAAAGCTTGATTTCAAATAAACCAGTTGGACTATAACCTGGTGTCATGTGACTTCTCACCAGCTACTGATTAGATGTTGGGGCAGGAAACCAAGATCATTCAGAATTTGAGCATCTTGGAGAGAATTACAAGTGAAATCCGATGCTTGGATCTCGGCATTTGAAAACCTGGACACCTCTGACAGAATAATAATAAAATGTGCAGGAATCCACAGTTAGAGGGGTGCAGTGTTCTTAGGAGCATTGTAAGGGTGGAAAGATTGATCCCACGGATGGATTTGCAAGAATAGAATGAGAACATGACAATACCTTTAATCTCAAATGTAGGTTGTTGAGGACACCCTGTCCTCAAGTCAGGATGCCAAACTTTTTGCTTTGAGGTTCTTCCTGTTCAGCAGGCTGCTTTCATAAGGAAGCAAAGTCCTGCAACACTCAATCTGACATAAAAACAATAACTGCTGGAAATACTGCTTGACCTGATGGGTGTGACTAGAGAGAGAAAGTTGAAGTTTGAGTTGAATTGATCTTTTCGAAGTTGCTGCCTGACCCACTGAACATATCCAATATTTTTTTGCCCTTCAGTCTTGCAGTTATGGTGATCTAATTTGAGCGAACAAACACATGACCCTCCTTTTTGCTTTATTGTAAATTGCAAAGCATATTTTTGAAATTCACCCAAGATTCTATAATCCCAAACAGTGTATATGGAATTCGGGAAGAAAGCACCCCTCCCTGTCATGTCTTGTTCCAGGGTCCTTGTAGCAAAACCTTTAATTTGCTTTTAGCAATGGTTAAAAATTGGTATTGAGCCAACCAGTCTGTTAAAAATGTGGCTATTTTTGCATGTGCCTGGTGTTTCAATAGCAAAGAGACCTTTGTCCAGCTCTTGAGCTGTATTCAATAAATAAAACATTTTCTCAATTCTGGGATACTCTGAAGTACTCGACACCGGTGAAATACTTTGCGTAGCCATTGTAGCAAAATATGATGGCTAGTTTGCACATATACCAGGACCTAGCAGTAAATCATGTCAGTGTCAGTCTTATTTCTATTATTCTATTTGTGTGGTTAATTTCATGTGACCAGACAGATCTAAGCATAAATTATTGTCGGTTTAATATCATAAAGATGTCCTGAAGGTGAAACTCTTCAGTGCTTGTGAGATGAATGGAACAATTCACTCAATATTTTTCAGTCCGTCATCCCTTCTGCAGTTGCTTGTCATCTTGACCAGTACATATATTGACAGTTACTGTCACTAGATCAAAACTCTGAAACCTAGTGGCACTATTGGCGCGCCTTCACAGATACAAATGGAGACAATTCAAGATGACTGAATACTGCCATGGGCAAATGGGGAAAAGCTATAATTGCTGGTCTTGCCTGTAATACCCATACCTTGCACAATGATAAAAGTGGGAATTAGTGGCTGTCTTTCTAACTTGTGTTCTTTAAAGTTGGATATCAAAGCACCTATTGAATTCATTTTGCACAGGCTGTGCACATGGATGCCTTACCACTGAGACCACTTCATAATAAACTGCTGCAGAGGGTGTGTGGTTAAAATTCACACGTTACTGTCATTTGGCCTGTAGAAAATGCCACACAGATGGAGAGCAGAGGAGACGAGGGAGACTGGGTCCTAAACGTCATCACCAAATGTAGATAAGGAGCTTTGTTATTCTTTGTAGTTATAATTATTATCAAGTGATTCATTTCCCTGTGACTGCATCAATCTCACTCGTGACCATTCTTCCAGTGACCTCATTGGTAATTGCTGCTTACAGTTGTTGACAATTTGTAGTTAGTTGATTTTTTTTTTAAAAGACAGTGATCTGAATTTTTTTAATATAGTTTCTACTTTCTAAAAGAAGCTCCTTGCTGTTTTTTTTTCCCCACTAATAGGATTGGCAATGCTGCCACTCTTTCTTACTGCCCAGATGAACAGTGCATGCAGTTAATTAGTTTGTTCATGGCAGGAAGTGTTCACATAGGATATGATGTGTTTTTATGCAGTTGATTTTTGAATGATGCTCAGGACCTCTGACCTTGCACCAGTGAAGTTATGTTCAAAACTAGGGGGCATTTTTGTTTTGTTTTGTTTTTGTTCTAGTTTGAAGCTAAATGTAAGTGACTTTTGGGCTAAGATCAACTCGTTATGAAGCAATTCACTATATAATGTATGGTAGTCTTAGTTCTAAGGATTGCCTGTTACCGTGCAGTACAGACAGACTAAACTGAAGATCAGTGCATTGTTAACTCTTTAGAGGGGGGAATCAGAATTGTTTCTGTTCAATGAATCGTGTCAGCTGTAGGTCAATAGATAGTTACTTGAGTAGGAAGGTTAAGACACCACTCTATATAACAGTATGGTCTCTGGAGTCATGCAGCAGGAAAACAGACCCTTCGGTCCAACTTAACCATGTCAACCAAGTTTCCCAACTAATCTAGTCCCGCTTGCCTGTGTGTCTTGGCCCATGTCCCCCTAAACCTCTTCTATTCATGTACCTGTCCAAATGTCTCTGAAATGTTGTAACTGTACCTGCATCCACCACTTCCTCTGGCAGTTCATTCCACACATAAACCATCCTCTGTGTGAAAAACATATCCCTCATGTCTCCCGTTTAAACCTTTTTTCCACTCGCCTTAAAAAATGCCCCCTAGTTTTAAACTCGCCCCAGGGGAAAAGATTTTTTTGTTCATTTTTTTTTCTATATCCTTCATGATTTTATGAGCCTGTAAGGTCACCCCTCAACCTCCTATATTACAGTGAAAGAAGTTGTAGCCTACCCAGCCTCTCCATAACTCAAACCCTCCAGTCCCAGAAACATCCCAGGCAAATCTTTTCTGCACCTTCTCCAATTTTTAATAATACTTTTTCCTATAACAGGCCGACCAGAACTGCACACAGTACTCCAAAAGCGCCACGCTGTCCCAACTCCGATACTCACTGGTCTGAGCAATGAAAACATGCTCAATGCTGCCTTAACACTGTCTACCAATGACACAAAGTTTAGAAGAATATGGGGAATCTCAGAAATCTTGGAAATCTACAGTATTCTAACAGGACTGGTCAGGATAAATCCAGGAAGGATGTTCCCCATGAGCAGGGAATCCAGAATCAGCAGTGTCCAAGGATATAGAACTGAGATGAGATGGAATGTGTTTGGCTAGAGAGTGAGCCTGTGGATTTCTCTGCCACAAAAGTGCTTGAGGCCAAAACACACATTTTCAAGTTCTTGGGACTAAAAGGATCAAAGGGTATGGGGGAGACAGCTGGAACTTAGTGAGTTGTCTAGAATGAGCGATTATCATTTAACATTAATTCTTTCTCTCATTTCTTCTGAAGATACTGTTGCCCTGGTGTGCCAGGGATTGGAAACTGCAGAGTACCATCAGATCTGCATGCACACATGGATCTTCTAATGCTGTTTTAAGGGAGGCTTCATTCTAGAGCAGTGCTTCCCGAGCATTTCCCCAAACCCCTCCATCACTGTGGAGGTCTAAATTGTCACAACCCCTGTGAACTGTGAGGGCTTGTTAGAGTGGGAGCACAGCTGCTGTAACGTAGTCATTACTGCCTCGCTTTACCATGCCAAAATTTAATTTGTAACCCACGCTTTGGGAAGCTGTGTTCTAGAAACTAGCGTAGGTTCTAATGAGCAGTAGGTTAATTTTCTGGGATCTTTTGGTTAGACTACAATGCTAGTGGAGAATCTGGTGCAAGAATAGTTGGGAAAGTTTTTGGAGGCTAATTGTTCCCATGCTGATTATTTCTAATTGTAATGCAGAGAATTATTGATGCTACAAGGCTTTGTATTCCTGTACGTAGATTAGAATACCCTCTGGCATAAGTTCAAATTGTGTTCCAACAATTTCTTAGTGTGTCCTTGATTTTAGGATGGAATTTTCAATCCTGCATGCCTGGCTGTCTCTTCAGCAATTCAGGTCACAGACACTTATACATTTTAAACTGGTTAGTGGCACCACTTGTAATGGAACTGGAATGTTCTTTAGTCAATATTTTAATATCATAAGATTTTTGAGTGTGAAGTCCAGCCCCACTTCATACTGGGCATTAACCCTTAACTGTTGTACAGACCTTCTTGAGGATGGGTTTCACAGACTTCATGATTCTGTTTTCCTAAGTGCCTATCCTTAACAGAGTACATAGTTCAGCTGTGTAGGGCATCACTTTACCCCATCCTGAAAATGCTGATGAGTAGTAGGAGTTAGCAAGAAACATCAGTAGTTATCCCTGTCTTGCCCTGCCCCCACTTTAAATAAGCAAGTAAAAGACAAATTGCCAACCTCCGAACAATGCACACATCGTAAACTGGTCTGCTGCTACACGCTTGCTGTGGAAGACATGGAATTTTTGTTCGACCTTATGTGAGCATAACATTGTTAATCTTTGTGATAACTTTGTTGAACAGAGACCTGGAGATGCAGGTACGTAGTTCCTCAAAAGTGGTGTCACAGGTTGGTGAAGAAGGCATTTTGGCATGCTTGATTTCATTGGTGAGAGCATTGAGTACAGGATATGGGATGTCATATTATACCTATACAAGACATTGGTAAGGCTAGATTTGGAGTACTACATGCGAGGATGGTATTAAACTGGAAAGGGTGCAAAAAAAAATTTACACTAATGTTACCAAGACTAAAGTGTTTGAGTTAGGAGAGCTGGATAGGCTGGGACTTTTTTCCCTGGAGCACAGGAAGCTGTGGGGTGACCTTTTTAAAGAAGTTTATAAAACCATGAGGAACGTGGATAGGGTGACTGGCCAAGTTCTTGTCCCCAGAGTAGGGGATTCCAAAATTAGAGGGCACTGGTTTAAGGTGAGAAGGGAAAGATTTTAAAAGGCATTTAAGGGGCACGTTCTTCTTCATAGAAGATAGTGCATGTATGGTATGAGGTGGCGGTGGGTGCAATTAGAACATTGAAGGCACTTGTACAGGGACATCAGGAAGGTTTACAGGGATATAGCCCAACTGCAGGAAAAGGGAGTATTTAGTTTGGGAAACCTGGTCAGCATGGGCAATTGGGGCCAAATGGCCTGTTTCAGTGCTGTATGACTGACTTTTTTTTTCCCCTCTGACACCTGCACAAATGTTCACAGTTGCATAAAATACCACGGTAAAGTGCAGATGTATTCTTTTATTAGACTTTGGCCCACAAGGAACCTGTCTACAACAAGAGGTCACAGTTTTAGGATAAAGGGTAGTAGATTTAAAACAGATGAGAAATTACTTCCCTCAAAGGGTCATGAATCTGGAGTTCACTACCCCAGAGTGTGGTGGATGCTGGGGCATTGTCTGCCTCCTCCCTTGAGATTTGATCAGACTGAATTTTAACCAGTAATAGGTAGAAAGATTATGGGGAGTGGTCAGGAAAGTGGAGCTGAGGCTGAGACGAGATCAGAAATGATCGTTAGGTGGTGGAGCAAGCTTGAGTGGCTGATGTGCCTAGTTCTTGTGTTCTTCCTGCGTAGCTGACCCAGTCTTTGTAGAGGAGGTTGTGGCATAGTGGTAATATCACTGGACTGATTAAATCAGAACTCGAGTCCTGGAGACAGGTTTTTAACCTCACCATGGTACAACTGAAGTGTTTGATCTGGTTCACTGATACTTTTTTTTTTGAGAAGGAAATCTCTCCTCGTGTCTGACTGGAATGTGACTCCAGATCCTCAGCAATATGGTTGGCTCATGACTGCCCTCTGAAATGGTTTGGGCAGCCGCTCGGTTCAAGGGCATTTGGGGGTGGCCAACAAACACTGCCCCAGGCAGCAACTCCCACATCCCATGAAGGACTTTTTTAATTAGAAAAAGACTGGATGGACAGACCTGACTTTGCTTGTGAATCCGCTTTAACCTCAGCTGACAGTCATTCGATACGAGTTCCCTTGTTCCAAGTTGAAATGAAGGTTTTTTCCGGTGAGATTCCACAGGAATAATCTGCTTCATTTCATTGCAGGTCAGCTCCAGGCTCCTCAGGTAACCCACCAGCTGGACCAACACCCTATGGCAGCAACAGGAAGCTGCAGCAGACCCAGGCCCAAGTGGATGAGGTAAGAGTACTTCTCTAGAGTTTCATTCAGCGTATTTTATAATTGCAGATGGCATGTGTGCCACACATTCTCATTATGTGGCCCTGTCATATAAACAGTGAGCACAGTAAAAAGCTGGCAGTATTCAAGTCGGACAATATCTGTTGACGGAGAAACAGGTAGTTTTAAGTTACTGATTTTTTTTTTTTGTCTGAACCAAAACATTTGATGCTTTGAGGACATTTCTAAAGCATTCCCCTGCCTTTCTTGGCATATGTGGGTGTTGCCGTGTTGCAAGCGGTTGCTTCAGGAACCTGACGTCAGACATAAGAATAATGTATTCCTTCCAGCTAAATTGATTTTCAGTGATTATTGCCTCATTTTTGAAAAGTTTGGCTTGAGTGAGGATGCGGTTGTTGGCCACCTTTCTTGCCACCAGACTTGGACAATTTTGCAAAGCTACTGGTGGTATTTGAACAGCTTGTTTTTAATTGCTGTGCCATTGGCTACCATGCCTTCAGCTGCCTCAGAACAAAGCTCTCAAATTTCTCTTAAATATCTCCACAGCAACCTGTTCATATTGCACCTTTTTAAATTAGTCTGCCCCTCCCAGTGCTTAAGACCTGCCTATGATAATGCATATGATAATCTATCATAATTGGTTTGTGGCTTGGTTTTAATTTTTAGATGTCACTGTGTGCCTTGGGTATTTTTGCCTCCTGGAAGTTACTAGATACAGCTTCTATATTGAGTGCTCATAAATGAGATGTTATTGAACCATAGAAATTTCGATTAGAGAACACTGGCACTTACCTGCATTTCATTTGTGGTTTCTTCTTCCTCCCATGATAGCTTTGCTCAGCTGAAATGAGCAACTGCAATTCCTCATTGGGACAAATATGCATCACAACTCAGCTGATTTGACATGTTACAATAGATAACCCAGGTTGGCATCTGGCACAACTGCGGAAAAATACTGAGTTTATGAATTCATTGATAAAATACAAAGGTGCCTTTAGTCCATTGTCTCTTTCAAAAAGAGACAGACAATCAATTAGGCCCACACTCCTCTTTCGCTGTAGTCTTTCAAGTATGTATCCAATTCCCATTTTG